TTGATCTTTGAATAAAAATACTTAACAAAAGGTGATTGATTGTTGACCTTTTATACTTAATTTTACTAAAATAGTATAGTAATAATATTTTAATAGATTTTTTAATATAGTATAGTGGATTAAAAAGATTTTGTATTAAAATACGTATCTGTTATGAGAGGAGATAAAAGATATTGTTTGTATAAAGATTGTAAAAAAAAAAAAAATGATGCAATGGTTTTGTTTGATAGAATTATTATAACTTGAGTTGGTTAGTAGAATATCTTTGGACTTATGTTTTTTTTAATATGAATTGGAACTTATTCTTGAGAGAAGATTAAACAATATTTTGTATGCTTCTCAATATTAGAGGAATTTCAAGTATTGTGGTACATTAAGATAGAAAGAGAAAAAAAGAAAAGAAGGAAGAAGAGGCAAAGTGTATATTTTTTTTGAACGATAGGTAATTCCAAGGTAATATCTATCGAATTGCTAATGTATCTTAATGGTATAGAGCATGTTGTGTAAAAATTATTTAGCATCTGAGATACTATTCTTCCTCATATTACTTCAAATATCATTAGTTGCATTGAAGTTTGTAGAGAATTGAGCCTTAAATAAACTAAGCCTTGACTAATCTCAAACTTCAATTAAAGAAGTGTTGGTTTGAAGGAAATCTTTGTGTTCTTTGGATTTGTGATCCAATTGTAATTACTTATTGGTGAAGGTAGTTATGATGGGAGAATGTTCTTGAAGGAGGGTAGATGGTTTTGTATATCTTCAAGTTATCAATGGTTAGAGGAGTTTTGATCCAAACCTTAGAGTTCTAGATGTTGCTAATATGGATAAAGTCATTGTTTAGTATTTTTGCTCATAAATTTGGAGTATATTTAAGGTTTTAATATCGGGCCTTAAAAGAATAGATAGTCTTGATTCCAAGAAGTATAGAGGTCCTATATCTATTATTTATATATACTAATAATGTATTCAAAATCTTGGCATCTGGTGCATTGATTTAGGTGCCTTGAGATAACAATCATGTATAGAAATAATATGTCTAAAGTCTAGCATGGAAGGTTTTTTTTATCTAGTATTTTGGTGACATCATGAACTTGAATTTTGATTCTATGTCTTGATGTCTTACTTGTATAAGATGATGCATCTTCAACCTATAAGACTTTGTTTAATAAAAAAGTGATAATATTTGGATAATTCTTATAGCAAAGATATTGGCTCAAATTTAAAAACTAAATTTAGACTAAGTATGCTTAATATTTATAAGAGTCTTTATTTTCTACAAAAAAAAAGAAATTCTAAGAAATGAAGGATATTTCTTTCTTTTCATATTTTAGAACTGAGTAGAGGGTATAGTGCATATCTTTAGATGACAAGAATTTAACTTCAAAGAATCCACTTTCTACTAGTAAATAAGATTATATTGATCAATGTAGATTAGTAACTATCTATTCTTTCAACATAAGTTATTTGGAGTTTTTTTCTATAACATTGTCAATTACTATAAATTGCATGGTTTTATTCCGGATGGTTTCTATGATGGATCACTTGAAGAATATCAAATTATATTTTAACTAAGCTATATATATTTTCTAACTGTAGGGCCTTGAGCATCCAAATGTATAAGCAAATGGTAGATGCTATTAATCTTTAGATCATATCTAAAAAGAATGGAACTCACATTTCTTTTAGATTGTTGAAGTTATGTAGTATGCATGGGAGCTATTCCATTGTCAAAGATGTAGTGCTCTATTGTGATGTCATTTAGATCTCAAGTTCAAAATAAGGTGAAGATTATGACTCCAAAAGATATTTTAATTAGTATGATAGATGAGTATTAATCTTGCAAATTATATCCACTTAATCGACTTTAAATACTAATAAAAAAGATGTGTGATGCAATGCTAAGCATCTTCTAATGGCATGACTAAACCTATTTGAAAACAAATCAATGCCATTGCTAGATCTCTCCACTCCCTCTTCTTCAACTATTTGAGTTGAATTATACATACTAGCTTAACAACAAATATACCATAATATCTAGTAGTAGTAGTAATATATTTGCTGCTCAATTTTTGGATCTAAAGATTTTGAAGTCATATTTTATTTTCTTAATGAATAGATCTAATATATCCCAAATGTGTGAAAAAAAACAAAATAAAAAAACAAACAAACAAACAAATAAACAAAAAAAAATTAGAATTCCAAAAATAACAACAATTCTATACATTCTAAAGTAAATGAAAACAATCATTGACTTTGATGTTCATTCACAAAACCCAAATTAAAAATGTGGATGAAACTTGTCCTTTCTACCAACCAACTATGATCCAAAGGTTGAAGATATATTGCTAAGGAATTGCACTACTTTAACAAATACATGACTATTACGAAACAAAAGATGGAATGCTTTGCAATCACCCCACCTGGCCAAACAAGGCTATGTATAACAAATACATGACTATTAAGAAACAAAAGATGGAATGCTTCGCAATCACCCCACTTGGCCAAACAAGGCTATGTATAATAAATACATGACTATTAAGAAACAAAAGATGGAATGCTTTGCAATCACCCCACCTGGCCAAACAAGGCTATGTTTAACAAATACATGACTATTAAGAAACAAAAGATGGAATGCTTTGCAATTACCCCACCTGGCCAAACAAGGCTATGTACAACAAGGCGTTCTGCAAAAACACAACAAGCACCAAGAAAACGATAGAAAAAAACAAATATATCAACTTAAAATAGTGGGACAAAAGAGTCGTTTTCATGAGTACTTATGGTGTGGAAAGCTCCTCGAGAGTAGCAGAATAGAGCAATCGCGATGGCGACGCATTGTGGCGAGCGTGGCGAATGCTAATTCATCTGCTCGTGAAAGCTCCAAAAAGGAAATGGATGACGCCGTGCTGTAGTCTCCGGGATCGTAACCTGTCGCTTGCGGAACTGCGATTGCATGGCGTCACAACAGCAAACCAGCCATGGTTGTGGAATGCATGGCGATGAAGAAGAAGGTTCGGATGTGGATGCATCAATCCCCGCATACGCGACGACTGTCCGAATCGCGACGTGGAGCATCCGGCGGTCCCGACCACCGAGACCCCGAGACTGAGCCAGCTGCTTGTTGAACTGGGTCCTTTGTAGCTTCGAAGTAGCTTTATTCTCAAGAACTGGACTGTCACGGCTTCCGGATGAGGTCGCGGCACAGGCCAGCCATACCATGCCATGCAAAAAAGGAAGAATTGCATGATAGTGCTGGTTTCTGTATCTCGTCTGGCAAGCGGACAACCTCGGCAAGTGGTCGTGGCGTGCGATGTGCATATGTGACCCCATTTTAGAGCTCCGGACCCATCGCGCGTTTTGAATGCATTCAAGCATGCGACGGCGTCAAATTGCTCATGTCTTTGACTCGAATAAACAATGACGTGAGAGTCCTCCCCTCCGGAATCTCACACTTTTCCATCGCGTTTTGGCTTTCGCATGCGAGAATGTTTTCAAAGATGCGTATCTATGAAGTAGCCACGCAAGGTTGAGTCAGTTCTGGTAGATCGGCAGACAAGTCTGATTTCCCGCTATAGTGATTTAGAGTGTTTTTGTTGTTTTGTTTTGTTTTTATTTCATTTGTTTTACAGGTTTTCATCTTCGAAAACTATGGTGGGTTTTGAAACTGTTGAAAGGCCTTTTGCTGTTAGGCACTCTTTGAATTTGAAGAATAGAAATGCACCCACATTTTGCTTCGTAAGTGGTGAAGCTCCTCATTGAACCTTCCTTTTTGCCTTTTATTATGTCAATGGGGGTCTCACGGATCACGTTTGTGGAGAGCCTTTCAACACCTTTGTTTTGCTATTCTACACAAAAAGTGTTCCTTTTCCATTCTAGATATTAGTGTTACATGCAAGCAATTTGGCTTTTGGAATGTAAAGTGATTTTTTCTAGAGAATTATGTGAGTCGCCATTGAAAACTTTCACAAAGCATTTATACTTGTCAATGTATATTTGGTTTTCTTTTTTTCCTTTCTTTTTTTAACAATTAGAATGATCTTGTTTTATTTTTATCTAACAATGTTGTTAGAATTTAATTTTTCCAATTTATTTAGTTCATTAATTTGTTATTATTTGATAGCTTGAAATCACTTTGTACTATAAAGATATACTTTTAAATTACAAATATTTATCAAAATCTTCCAATTTATTATATTAAATGGAAAATTTTTAAATTTAAAGATTTTAATGAAAATATTTGCTAAAAACATCTTTTTCTCTTACAAATAATTTATTAAATTTTTTTATTATAGATTATATATTTATTATTAATTATTTTTATCTTATATATGATATACTAAATTAAATATAAATATTTAACAATTTGATAATATAAGCATGTACATTAAGTGGTTGACTTGAATATGCCATCAAAGAATATTATGACATAGTACAATTAAAAGATATATTTTAATATTATATATATATATATATTTACTAGTTTTTAAAATTAATATCCTATTAATTTAAAAATATGGAGCCAAAACATTATTGAAGTTCCTGCATTGAAACCCACGCAGTAGAGAAAACTCAACATGCAACTCATTACTCATCCCAAAAAGAAACTCTACAGAAGAAGAAAAAGAGATCTAATTTTGGCTTGAAATGAAACAATGGGTCATATAATATTTCACTGCACAGTCGTCCGGATATGTTGTTATAAGCTATAGTTTTTTTGCCGTTGCAAAAAACGAAGTGAGAGTGAGAGAGAGAGAGAAATTATAATAATATTTGAGAGGTAGAAACCATGCGAGAATCATCATCATGCTGGAAGGAAGTATACCCGGAGGAGGGCTTGTTGGCGGGTTAATCAGTCTCGTGGCCTTGATATCCGCACGCCACGATGACTGGCCACCGGGACTTCATGCATGCAGGTGGTGGCCCTCACGGTCGAATTGGCTTCGTCACCAGTCGATCATGGTCGCGTTTGCGCCTCGCCACCGCATGTAATAAGTACTTAGATGCAATGAGTTCGATGTGTGACTATCACTCTCCCTCACCTTGAAAAATCAGGAGCGGATTCCTTCAGGGTGTGAACACAGTGTTGTTGTTATGATGGGTACTCGGAACGTGTTGGTTTTTGCTGTTGGGTTGTTTCTTGTGCTGAGCTTTGCTGCAGCTAGCGGCAGTAAACATGACGACAACCATGAGCTGATGATCGGGGGGCTGGACATCGACTACAAGTGCCGGCCCGGGAACTATACCACCACCAAGGACAAGGAGCTCACGCAGGTTGCTCTGAACTTGGAGTATTTCGAAGCGGAGTATTTCTTGTGGGGAGCTTACGGCTATGGTTTGGACAAGATTGCTCCCTACTTGGTCGATGGCGGTCCCCCCCCCATTGGTGCTCAGAAGGCCAATTTGGACGCTTACTATACCGATATCTACATTCAGATGGGGCTTCAGGAAGTTGGACATCTCAGGGCGATCAAGAGAGCTTTGGGTGATCCTCCCAGGTGTGCATTCCCTCGCACTCAGCTGGACATTAGCAAAAAGACCTGGGCCGATACGATGGACAAGGCGTTCCTGCAGACTTTCGGCGAGAAGCTGAACCCTCCCTATGATCCTTATGAAGACAGCTTGAAGTACCTCATCTCCACGTACACCATTCCCTACGTTGGGTTGACGGGATACGTCGGCGCTAACCCCGAGTTGAAGGGATACAATGCCAAGAAGGTAAAGCTTGCGAAGGCCACATTCTTAATCTCGTTGTTGATGGCTATTGGAGCTATTTTTAAGGATCTTACATTGTTCGTTGGGTGTTGCAGCTTGTGGCTGGTTTGCTGGGTGTGGAGTCGGGTCAAGACGCTATCATTCGCACCGAAATGTACCGCCAGAAGAACAAGAAGGTCAGCCCGTACAAGTACACCGTGGCGGATTTCAGCAACGCCATTTCCAACTTGAGGAACAACTTGTCCCACGCTTTCGTTGACGAAGGATTGGTGGTGCCAAATGAGCTGGGTGCTGAAATGATGGTGACTGGTAACATATTGTCTGCTGACAACGACTCTCTCTCCTACCCTCGTACTGCCGAGCAGGTGTTCGAAACTGTTTACGGGACCGGAGATGCTTCCAAGCCCGGAGGCTTCTATCCCAAGGGCTGTCAGGGTGTCATCGCCGCGAGTTACCTTGATTAGAGGATTAGAGGATTCGCCTGCGATTCGTTGAATCCAGGACGGATGTTGAATAGTGTTGATCTATGTTGTTCATTTGTTGGATCTGAACTGTGAAGATTGTCGAATTGTGTAGAATTGGAGAATAAATTGTGGTGATGAGCATGTACATACACTACGAATGCAGCAGATTTGCGGCAGTTTTTCAGTTCAATGAAATTGGGTGTGTTACATTGTAAGCATGGTCTTCCTCGCAGTGTTTTGAGCTTTCCTTTCTTCACTCCCTCTATTGCTTCAGGGTGTCTGCCCATTGCTTAGCGATAAATCTCACACTTCTTTGGAGAGAAGCGTGTTCATGGCAATGTCAATAATTCAATGTTTTGAAGATATCTTAAGAAGGAGAAATTGATGTTCTAAGTTGGTGAAGACTGATTTGAGTGAATTTTCCTACACACTGGCTTACGGATCGGGTTTGGAGGTATACATAGGGTAATGGTAAATTACCGCTATGAAGAATTCTGCTCTGAAATTTGTACTGACACAGTTAACAAGCTGAAACCTCTTCAAATTTTTGGATATTACATCAAACTTCATTTTAATTTCTATCAATCACTCAATTGTATACACACACACATACACACACACACATATATATATATATATATATATATATATATATAGATAAACGTGTGTATTTTCAAAACCTCTGAGCTTGTAGAGTCTACTGCATACAGAAGCTTATTACTGTACTTCTTTCCATGAAATGTTTGTTTGAAGCTCTGTATTGTACTTCTTTCCATGAAAGAAATTTACATGTAGAGTGACAGCGTAGTTTTAACCAGTCGGTGGTGAAAACTTCTACCACTTCAATCTGCAGCCCCTACAGCATCGCACTAAAATGACTTAGGCCATTTGCAACCACCAGATCTACGTCGATGCTAATCTAATTCCCTACGACTGTGAGTCTAACTGTTTTTCTGCAACGTCACCACAGATAATGTGTTGCTATCTATCACAACACAAAATCTAATGTAGAAGTCAGTAATTTCGTAGGTAATCATCTGCGCACATTGGTGAGCAGATGATTAGTGGTACAGTTATACTCTATTTCTGAAAGCTACTCAGGGCCTCCTGCCAAGCATCTACCAATAGTCTTAATGTATATGTTGCAAACAAAATAGCAGATATGGAGACCACGAACAGATTTTGCAACCAAACAGTTATTGAAAGCTTTTTGAGTGGAAAGAGTTGACCTTCATTGGACACTGAGATATTGAAAACATTCACTACTCAAAAAGTCAATTATTCGAAATGTGTGATAGATTGAGGCATCCAGAAAAACCTCATTTGTGACTAAAACAGTATTTAAATGTGAATGTTAAATATTTAAATGTATAATATTTAAATGTGAATGTTAAATAGACCCATGTTTTTGTAAAATAGACCCACCTTTGATGAAGAATATGGTAATCATAACGAATGTTAAATGTGGTTGGTTTTTATTGATGGCATATCCAATAGTGGCAAAATGAATCTAGAGGTTATTATTTTTTTTCATGATGGTTAGGATGGGTGGGTTTTTTTAGCAAAGTTTTTGGTCTATTTAACATTTTTTTATTTAAATTACAACATCTTTTATTTTATAGGATTATTATATTTTTAAGAATATAAATTTTAAAAAAACAATTATAAATATATAGAATTTGAAAGTTTTAAATTAAAAATAAATATTTGATTTTGATTTTTATTTTTATAGGTACTATAGCTAAGAGCTCAATTGCATTGATTATAATAAAAAATTAATAATGAATAGAAATTTGACTAATGATTTTAGTTAACTAAGTTGGAAAAAAAATCAAAAGCATGTAATAAGATTTGTAATATAAATAAGCTCTAAATTACATGAGTAACATATATAATTAAAATTAATAAAAAGTGAGAGATTTTAAAATAATAATATAAATATAAATATAATATATAACTCTTTTAAAAATCATGAATATTTTTATAATATATATTTTCTTGAAAGTGCAATTAGTTGAGGTATTGTGGTTCTAATATCTATAACAAAGATAACCTATCTTTCTAAAATTGAGCCAAGTAAAAGATTCTTCAAACTTATAACTTATTCTATAAAAAAATGTATGTTTATTAAAGAGGCCATCAATCTCTACATCTATTCAACATTGTTTGCACATGCTACTTGAACATACCAATGTATCTCACTTTTTATCTCAACGAGCATGGGTGAGCTTATCTACTTTGGTAGTTATACCTTGTCTAAGTTCAACCTACTACTTTATCAAATCCTATTCCTAACTAGCCCATGGATATCATTATGCAATAATAGAAATTTCAAAACATAAAATAACTTTCAAATAAAGTTATAGAATATTTTGAAATTTAACTAAAAGCTTCATAAATAATATCATATAATTAAAAAATAAATAAAATATTTTATTATTATATAATATTTGAGAATAAAGTATAAATATTTGAATAGATTTTAGAAGTTATATTTTATTTTTAATTTTAAAAATTATATTACTATGTTATTTCAATAAATTTTTATAAAAATAAGATACATAAATATATTTATATATTAAAACAAAAATAATATATATATATATATATATATATATATATATATATTATTAAAAAAAATGTAAAAGATTTAATGTATTAAATATATGATTGATAAAGTAATAAATATATTACTAATAAAAATTATATCATTGGTATAATTTATAAAAGATATCAATTAATTATTAATTTTTTAAAATTAATATAATAAATTTTATTATGGTTTTAATATAAAAATAAATAAATAAACTTAATACATAAGTATAATTATACCTTTGGAATAGATGCTTATATATATATATATATATATATATATATATATTTTAATATTAATATAATACTTTATGGATAATAATAAAGCAATCCAAATTTTTACTAAAGTAATTTATCCATCATCATAATTTTATATATAGATAGTATAAATCTTCTTCATCATTAAGACTACAATCTATATTTGGATAAATAGAATTATTATTTGGATATAATTTTCAACAATTCTCAATAGTTTCCAATAGCTAGTAATAACGTCTTTTTATTACTCTCCTCATACTTGCCCTATAAATATGTGTGTACTAAATTTACTTCATCTTATTTTAGTACATACTCTTTTTTAGATTGTGTGTAGTAGAAAAAGAAAAAAATTATACATTCTATAGTTTTTTTGTATTTTGCAATAGAAAAAGAGGGATTTTTATATGCACCACTAAAGAAATATTTTGAATATATACAAGAAATGAAACGTAGTATTGATGAATTTATACACAATTAAGGCTATGTTGTATGCAAATGATATTCTAACAAAAGTCACATTGATTACAAGTGTAATAGAAGAAAGATTTACTATGATTGAAATTGTCATACTCACAAACAAAATAATGCAAGTTGTTTGATAGGATGTCTATTTGCATTGTTTGCTCATTGTTTGTACAATAATACTCAATGGAATTTGATTGTATAAAATGCTCTTTATAAATATGGAGCTACTTCTTCTATTTTAGGCCATCAATTTTCTTGCCAGTTACAACTAGCCAAAAAAGAATGAACTTCATAATTTCTAACTATAGACATTCTACTAAAAAGTATAGTTGTTGCCTTATATTGTTGTGATGTAATATGGCTAATGAATGAAAGAGAGAAGAAAATATTATATTATAGAAGATCTTACTTTAAAATATTATAGCAAATTATCTTAGAAAAAAAGTAATAGTCAAAAAGATAGTAAAACTAAAGCGTATTAATATTGTCTTTTTACAAAATAGGCTTCTACCTACTTTGTAGGACCATAAATAAGGCAAAACAAAGTAGATTGAGAAATAAAATGATATAAGCATGTGTAGGAAGGAATTAAGAGTATATTTTAGTGAAATTTACCTCAAGAAGCCAAAAATTGATATCCAAAGAAGATCGGTTGTCAACTTGGGTTAAAATCAGACCTTGAGGCACAAAACCATGCACCTATGGTAACTTTGGGGTTTTTTGGTAGATTAAAGAATGGGATTTCAAAGAAAACTTGATAAGGTTTCTTTAAAAATTGGTTTTTTGTGATTTGGATTTGTAATGACTTTGTTAGAGCTCTACAAAGTTAAGGTAGTTTTAGATGACAGAATTTTTGTGAAATAAAGTAGGATTGACGTTTTGAGCAATTTTGGGAGTTTTGTAGCAGATCTATAAGTGTAATTGCATAGGTTGGTGAATGTAATTGTACTTGATATAGGTTGAGAATACAAGTTCAATCAAATAGTTAGATCAAAGTGAGTCAAAGTTTTTGTAGATTAAGAGCTCAAAAATTGGGGTTTGAGGGTCAATGAGTATTTTTTAGATCTTTAGCAATTTTTCAATTGAATTGAAGTGATCTTTTTTATACATAGAGACTAGACTTTATTTCCAATAATTTAAGTAAATTTTGGAAGAAAATCAATTATTCAAATGGAAGATATTAGAGCTAGAAGTTCAACATTCAAATTGGAATAGAAGGCTGGCCAATACCTAAGCAAATTTTAGGATTTTTCTTCCATTTCGTAAGTGCGATTATCTTCAAATTTATTATGTTTATTTTTAACTAAAATGTTAAGAGATGTGTAAATTTTTAAGCAAAATCAATGGTTTAATTAATATGTATTGGAATTCTAATCTACCTTAGAGTTAATTAGATTTTACTTAAGATTTGATTTAGGATTTAGGGTTTGTCTAAGGTTTGGTTTAGGATTTAGGATTTATCTAGGGTTTGATTTAAGATTTAGAGTTTGTCTAGGATTTGATTTAGGATTTGGGATTTATTTAGGATTTAATTTAAGATTTAAGATTTGTCTAGGATTTAGAGTTTGATTTAGGATTTAGGATTTGTTCAGAATTTGGTTTAAGGTTTAGAATTTAGGGTTATTAAATATATTCTTTTGAAAAATCATACATAGTTATTACTTCAAGTGATATTAGTTATCAATTAATTTCATACTATAGAAGCATATATATATATATATATATATTATTCAAAACCTTCAATGCGACAAGCTGTCACGGACATACATATAATTACCTATATGAATAGATAAAAGTATGTAAAAGTAGGTTAATTGTGTAATATCTTCTAGAGAAGCTTCTTAGAAGCTTCATAGACGCTGCTTTGACTTTATAGGAGTCTATAGTTGACTTTTAGGTTAGAAACTTGGTCAACAAGTTAGCCATGTGCCACGCATGTTGGAAGCTTAAAGAACAAGCTAACTACGTGGTCTATCTATAGAAAACTTGCCTTGCAAGCAAAGGCATGTGGCCTAGAAAGTCAACATATATTGGAGGTCTTATAGAACATCGCCACGTGGCTTCTAGTTAGATAGTATATATAGAGGCAAGAGTGAAGCCCTCTTCACTCTTGTCAACTCCTTTCTTGCTTCTAGTCTAGTTTCAAGGATCTCTAGTTTTCTTGTATTTTGGCAATAGCCATTCCAGTTTCTTTCTTAATATACATATTTCTATTTTGTCCTATTTCTTTTTGAGAAAAGTCTCACTTACTCTTTAGCTTTCATCGAGTTCTTGTCCCTGACACAAGCATTAATGTCGCAGATCTTTAACCTGTTGAATCAAAGAACACTTTCATTTGTTGCTCCTATAATGAGAGCAATCTAGAAATAATATCTACCAAGTTACATGCTATAAAGACAATCTTTGAAGAAGGATTCTTAAAAGCCACTAGATCAAAAACCATAATAATAAGTTGAAAAATCAGGAGCAATTGACTCAAAACATCTTTTGCGAGAAAGTTGTAAAATGGACAAGAAAATTAAGGCAACCAGCACTAAAAAAATTATAAGATTGACACAAATTATTTTTGAACAAGTGAACAAATATTCTACCTATTAAACATATCACAACATATTGATGAAGAAAGCCGTTTTATATATTTGTGTGAATAAAATCTCATAAAAATCGGCAATATATATATATATATATATATATATATATATATATAATCTCTTACCTTCCTTGGATTTTGTTGCCATTTAAAAAGATTTCTTATAATCATGGCTCAAATGCTACAAACAACAATACCACCTCCTTATTTGTTTGCAAAGAACTAGCTTCAACTCTTACAACAACAATTTCAACCATTTTGATTGTATTCTTTATTAGATCAACCTAAACAAATAAGGTGACAAAAGCAAATTTAAAACCCATCTTCAAAACCTTCTTAAATATGCAAAGAACTCAATTTTGGATCGCAATGATCTATATAATACTGCAGCAAGCCACATCATTATGAATTTGAAGGATTCTAATAGTAAAGTTGGTGATACTTTAAAACAAAGGGTTTAGACACCTATTTCATATTTGATTTTATTGAGAGATGCATCTATAATTAAAGATCTTTTTCTTTCATATGATTGAGTCACCATTACAAGTAACAATTTTTATAAAGCAAGGTGGCCAAAGGAGTTAAGTTTGGATGGAATACTCCAAATCAGCAAAGATAACAAGTTCATATTTTTATTAGCTTTTTTTCTTTGCTCGCTTTCTTGACAAAATGAAAACTAAAAATAGCAACAATAAAGTTAGCAAAGATAGTAGCCAGACTTATAGAAGTAGTCTTTGATAATCACATCATGATTAGATATGGTTTGGGCTTTTACAACTGATACATCCATTAAAGTCACAAACTCCACCTCTTGAGTTACAACCATATTTTTACAAGAAGCTAATAACTAGCAAAACAAACACTTTGATAGAAGCATTATGATATTTCAAATGCAGAGACCATTATTTGACAAGTCTTGAACTTATGCCTAATAGGTCAACATTAATATAATATGTACAAAAGATAATAAAAAAATTAAAATTAAATATTTTTCTTTATAATTTAATTGTATAATTGTATAATTTTAATTTTAATTTATCATGATAAGACTCAATATTGTTGTTGCTGTTTTGATTTGTGTAAAAACATAGATGATTTTTTTTTCAATCATAATTTTTTTAAATAAATATTTTTTTCATAAAAACATCTATTTTTATAAAATTAAACTTTAATAAAATTAAAAAAACAGTTATATATTCTTTATTCAAATTACAAATGTATCCCAATCCATTGAATGTTATGTCATAGCAGTGTGATTTGCTAAATTAAAATATTGAAGGCATAAAATTCATAAATGAAAATAACTAATAAAATTATGTTATAGACCAATAGATAAACTATGTTTTAATCTACTCAAATACTATTAGATGTTAATATCTAATTTTTTGACATACAATATTAATTTTGATAAAAAAAAAAAAAAAAAAAAAAAAAACTTCTTAAGTTTAAGGACAATGTATGGAATTTGCAAGATTCAAAAGTGGTAAATAAATTATTACAAAAATTATTATTCAATTAAAAAATATGTAGTTTAAGTCAAGAGCTAAAAATAAAAAAATACTTATATAGTTAATTTGATTCTATGGTGTTGCTACAAATGTAAAAAAAGCAAAAATCAATTATAACGTAATCCTTAATTATGCCTTATGCATGTATCAAACATCCAAAAAAATTCTACATGTATTCAAACAAAGCATCTATGTACAAATTAGTATGAAGCCTAGGACACTTTGGTTGATGAAAAGCATTCACTTTGCAATAAAGTATTTTTTCTTGCAAACTATTTTTTAATTTTAAATACTTTAGTATTATATGGCCTCTCTTCCAAGAAAATTTATATTTAATTAATATAGATCCAATGGGATAATTTTATTTTAAAATATTTTGTATGGAATGATTTACAAATTAGAAATAAAAAAAAAAAAAAAGGTTGTCAATTAGAGAATTGTGATATTGTACTTGAGTTCTGGAATAATTTGCACATGGCCAAAAACATGTTAGCAGATAGGATACATATCAAAATTCAGTAGCAAACAAGAATTCTTCCTCAAATTTGCCACCTCAAACGAATGGCACCATACTGCATAAACAAAATAATACTTAATTAAGTACATTTAGGTTAATCTGGTGTTCTCAGTGCCTTCGAAGCTTCATCACCTTCCTTCCTTCATCGTCTTCATCGTCTTCTTCCTCATCCATATTTCCTTTCTTTCTTCCTCGGTGGATGGCTGGCTAGCGACAGAATGAATGGAATGACACTGTTGTTGATGTTGGTGGTGGTGTTGATGATGAGTTGAGTTGAGTTGGGGTGCAGTGGTAATGCCACGCTTACCCTGACAACCAACCCACCAACCAACGAACCTAATGTCTGCTATGCGGTGAATTGTGGTCCCCCCTTGTTTGCTTCTCGAATCCCCTTCCTGCCAGTTATAAAATTTTCAAAGCCGTATCAGGAGGACACTGATTGTGTCGTATTCTTACAGCTTTCCATTGCAGCTCTGTGTCTTCATCGGGAAACCTAGGGTTTCCGCACCTGTCGCTCATGCGACCGTTTCGGTGCAGTTGCGATGATTTTGGAGCTACAGCAGCTCAAGAGTAGCTCGTGATTGGTGATGCAGTAACCGCCTGGCTCTTTGAACCCAATTGCTCCTATGGTTCCATCGTTGTAGGGAGAGAATATGTTTGATTCTCTGGGGAAAGTGGAAAGCAGGAGGGACGGGGAGAGGATTGACCGAGCTTTTCGAGGAAATATTGTGGCGAAAGTTCCGGATGCGGTGCTTATCCACTTGTGAAATTCGTTTGAGGTGGCAGTAAACAAGATATGGATTATCGTCATGATATGCTTCGGTGGGGCTATCAGCTGACAGGTCTCACACATGCCATGATCGTTGCTTTTAAACCTTGTAAACTTGGTGTTCCGAATCACCGAATTGCTTTGTTTTTTCCACTTTGGGAAATCATGTCTAGTCATCGTCATTGTCTGCAGCATTTTCTGATTGAATTACGTGCAGCTTTAGATCGTATCAGTCCAATGTTGCTGACAAGAGAGACTCCGTGTAGCGTGTATCGTTTTGGGTGGCCTGCTGGAGTAACTACATTATAATTGAATTTAGTGTTCTTGGGGAATTGGAACGGAGCTGCGGGATTGCCTGCTATGGTGCTGAGTATTACTTTTGCGTAGAATCTACGTTTCGTCAACATGAAATTGATTCTGAATTTAACGTGTGGGGGCGTGTGGTGAAGCAAACGAAGAAGAAGAAGAAGAAAAAAAAAAAAAAAAAAAAAAAAAAAGAAAAAAAAGAAAGGCGTCGGCAGGGGGTGTGATTGCGGACGCTTAGGGTTGTAGGTATTGGTCTTGCTCAGGACAGAGATCTATGGACTGCGAGGGATGCGAGGGGGTTTAGCATCGCGTAGACTTGATGGTGTTGTGATGTGATCTTCGAAGAGTAGAACTGTTGCGAGGCGGGGTACAATAATCATGTCAGATTGTGTAGTTGTAGCTTCTGGAGGTCGAGGTGAAGATAGGATGACCCATTAGTTTTCGTCAGAGGTTTCGTGAGTCGGCAATGTGAATAATTGCGCTTAGAACACTGAGGACTGGAGGTAGATTTAAGGAAATAAAGAAAGAAAAAACAGAGGAAGAAAAAACGAATCGACGCTGGTTTGGGTGCGTAGCTCTGGAGTTGGAATGGTTGTTTCTTATGCCATGGTTTGTTAGGGTAGGTAACAGAAGTTGGATTTTCGTATCGAGCAACGAGGTAGAGAGGTTGTGTATAATGGATTATAGGGACGATGACGCCGACGCTGCGTTGGAGCACTTCGCCATTGCACCTCTAACTCTTGCGCAGAAAGTTGTTGCCTTTCGCATCCTGTTTTTTCGATGGGTGAAAAAGGTTCGTATCGTGATCGCAACGAAGGCACTGCGGATATGGAAGGTGTGGAAGCGGCTCTTGTATTTGTGGTTCAGGGGTGTGGGATCGTGGTTAAACCCTCGAAACCCGAGTGTCCTTTTGTTAGCAGCTGTCGTAGCGACCATACTTTTGAAAAGAGCAAAGCTAGGATCACAAAGAGCAGAGCGTGCTTACAGACGGAAGTTCTGGTCCAATTTGATGAAGACCGCTTTGACATACGAGGAGTGGGCTCATGCTGCGCGGATGCTTGAGAAGGAGCAAACTCGGAGGAAGGATTCAGATTTGTACGATGAGGATTTGGTGCGGTCAAAGCTTAACGAGCTTCGATTGCGTCGTTTGGAAGGTGGTGTTGAGGATATTCTCTTCTGCATTCGGGCTGATTTAGTGCGCAATTTGGGGAATATGTGCAACCCTGAACTGCACAAGGGCCGGCTACAAACTCCCCGCCTTATTCAGGAGTATATCAACGAAGTGAGGTGTTTACTCGAATACATGTTCTTTCTCATCATGTAGTATTTATAATGATGAGAATTGATTTTTTCATGTTTGGATCGTTTCCCTTAAACATAACAGTAAACTGCAGTTCGATCGCAGATACCTCCAAAATATGGCTCTAATTTTTATTGATTCGTCATGACATGTGCCAGGTACCACCTTCGAGCCGTGTGTGGGAGTGACTCGGACAGCTTTACACTTGACGAAAAAATTGCTTTCATTCACGAAACCCGCCATGGTTTTGGTCGCACTGCACTTCTTCTTAGTGGTGGAGCAGCTCTCGGAGCGTTTCATCTTGGGGTTGTACGAACTCTCATCGAGCATCGTCTACTTCCCCGAGTGATTGCAGGAGCTAGTGTAGGATCTATCATATGCTCATTTGCTGCAACGCGCACATGGACAGAGCTCCAGAGTTTTTTCGATGACCCCATGCCTCCCATGCACTTTTTTGAAAACATGGGGAGCATCTTTGCTACTGCGCACAGGCTTCTGACCCGGGGTGCTGTGCATGAAATTGGTATGCTGCAAAGGAAAATGAGACAGCTCATTGGGGATTTAACTTTCCAGGAGGCTTACGATCTATCTGGTCGTGTGCTTGGAATATCTGTATGTTCACCTCGGAAACTTGAGCCCCCGAGATGTTTGAATTATTTAACTTCCCCTCATGTAGTCATTTGGAGCGCAGTCACTGCATCATGTGCATTTCCAGGGCTGTTTGAAGCGCAAGAGCTAATGGCTAAGGATCGAACTGGGCACCTCGTGCCCTATCATACACCACCTCAGGTTCATTTCTTAAAAACTCTTTATTAATAGTCAACTCAGTAGTCAGAAGGTTTCATCAGCATCGGTAGTTGTTGAGACTTTGTAACATGATACAAAGAAGAGATTTGAAAATGTCTTGCTTTTGTTTCTTGAAGTTGAGCTTGTGGTGCTGCCCTGGCTGTTCTAGGTTGGTCCGGGGGACAAGAACATGGAAAAGGATATTGGGAATCGACGATGGCGAGATGGCAGCCTTGAAAGTGATTTGCCGATGATGCAGTTGAAGGAACTGTTCAACGTAAACCATTTTATTGTCAGCCAGGCGAATCCACATATTACCCCTTTTCTGAGGTTCAAGGATTTTGTTCGTGCATATGGAGGAGATTTTGCTGGAAAAGTGAGCATGCAGATTTCTTGTACAACTTCAAATTGAAATGAATTGAGCATTCTTGACGCTGTCAGCTTCTAAGCATCTTGGAACCGTTAGTATGAGGAAACTCAAGAGTATCTAAGCGAATTTGTTTAAAATTAAATTAAATTGAATTAAATTAACCTACTTTTGTTTTTATTTTGTTTTTCCTATATATTTTTCATTGTATTGGATGTTTATTAGTGGAGATGGATTTTTTCCGTGCGTGTGCAGTTGGCACACTTAGCGGAAATGGAGGTTAAGCACCGATGCAAGCAGGTGATGGAGATGGGATTTGAGGTCTTTGGGCTTGCCAAGTTGTTCGCACAAGATTGGGAAGGAGATGTCACGATTGTTATGCCAGCTACTTTTGCCCAGGTGAGCAGCTCGCTGCTTATATGAATCCATGCAATCATGGCCGGTCTGAACAGATTTTGCCTCTATCCTGTATGAAACATTTCATAAGCGTGTCTCTCCTTCGTCGATGATCTCTTTTTCAGCAATTACTAACACGAATAATTTCTTCCAGTTTGCCAAGATTATTACGAATCCAACACCCATAGATCTTCGCAAGGCAGTGATGCAAGGCCGACGCTGTACTTGGGCTAAGCTATCAGCCATTCAAGCCAACTGTGGCATAGAACTGATGCTAGACGAGTGTGTCTCGGAACTGAACCGTCGTCGTAAAGCCTTGCGGGAGATAGAGCGAAGCAATGCAATGCAGAATAGTCATGGTGGCATGCGAGGGTTATCTGGAACAAAGCGTATTCCTTCTTGGAACAACATGGCTCGAGAAAATTCTTGCGGCTCTCTAGATGATGAGAGCTTTCATGATGGAGCGCAACAAGGGGGGCCGTGGGGAGGTCCCACCCTGCGGACCCTTAGACCGGTACGTATCACGCATGACGGTAGTGATAGCGATGATAATCTGGACCTGTACCAGCAGTCGTGGACGAGAGCAGGTGGGCCTCTCATGCGGACGGCGTCAGCAGCCAAATTTGTGATGTACTATGATGGAGAAGCAGATTCTGCAATGGCTACCACACCTGCCACAACTCCCCAGGAGCCCAAAGGAGGTCACGAAAGTGGAGACGAATCGGACGCAAATAAGTTGATGCCGGTTAACAAATTGCACCGACCCGGCAGCGGGGAGTTTCGAAGCGGCAACCGGAAAAATAAGATCTGGGAGGCGGTAGGAAGTGGTAACATGCTTGGGACCGGAGCTGGAAACGAGTCTGCACGAATTGATGATAACGGTTCATCACCTGACGAGCCGGAATCCGGTAATCCACAGCAGCCAAAAATGCGCAAATCGGCTAGTGCATATCTAGAAAGGTTGACAATCTCTGATTGTAACCCGGTACATGGTGAAGAACTCAGACCCAGTTCGAGGTGCTTTAGCATCCCTGGTTGTATATGTCCTACACCGGCGTGGAACACGCCATGCGAATGCTCAGAACAATTAGACTTCCTTGCACACGAGAAGACATCCAAAGCGGCAAGCTTGCTGTGGCATGACAATCCAGAAATGAATGGAAACTTAGAAAATGCTGCAGAAATCAGCATGAGGGAAGCCCTGAGAGCCACTTCCCCCCAGAAACAATACGAAGGCTTGCAAGGTCGTGCATTAGATCGTGGAGCCTTTGGTTCTTTTGTTAGCAGCGATCGGAATCAGAGGTCAACAAATTGAAGTAAGGAAGGAAGGAAGGAAGGAAGCTGTGGCTTTTGCTCGACGCTGTGGATCAGAGTATCATGTGGCAGAAATCGTTCTACATGTGGAGCATTGCTTTCTGCCACTGGGTGTTCGGTCAATTGCCTTATTGTACTTCAAAGTCCCTCACTTTATGTCGTAAAACAATGTGATGGATCATGAAGTTCCGGCACACAACGAAGGTTCATTCTTCAACCTGTATGCCAGATATTTATGCGAAGCCAGCGGCAGATATCTTATCACCAAGTGATAAAGAGGTACATCAAGACGTTATGACACAATCATTCTACATGTGTAGCATTGCCTCAGATGCTCAGGTTTCAGCTCTCAGAGCTCATTGAATATTTTTATCATTTAGAGTTTGAAGCTCAGTTTGATCAGGCAGGTTTCCAGTTGTAGTGATGTAAGGATTTTAGCTGGCAGCCATATTCACTATAACTTTGTACATCATTTTTATTTTTATTTTTTTCCTCTCTTGTACACTTAAGCTTGACGTTGGTTTTTATGAGCATCATTAAACTATGTCAGTTAAGATATCGTACTACTTTTACTCCAGTCTAAGTTTGGGCATGTTCAATGCCAGCCATATGGATTGTGAATTGGACGAGTTCAATATCCTTCATTGTCTTGTTTTCCTTTACTGAAAGTGGGAAACTGCTCTTCTGCATCCATGCTTAAGGATTTAGGGTTTGGGAAAGGATGTTAATGATGGAATATCACCCCAGTTCAATCAAAGTTGGTTTTGACTTCAAGTACCAAAACTACTAAAGTTGCCCAAGCCAGATATTTCATAGTTTTATTAGAAAGGAGAACAAATTTGGATTTCCTCACTCTCATTTTCTATTATTTAATTATGTTAAATAAGTATTTTTGTAGATGCCTACACAACTATACCAATTAACATGGGTAAAATACACAAAAACATTGTAAAACTTTAAGCAGTACTTTAAAGTGGATATTGATCATGTAACCAAAAACTTCAATCCAATTTACAACAAGATATTAGACTTGTGGCATAATCCCAAAAGCGAGCGGGAATTATGAGGAAACTAAGAAATGCATTGAACAGTGATGTCAGTCCAACTCGTTGATTCCTTGATTCCTTCATTTTTAGACAAAGAAAATAACCTTTTCATTTTTAGAAATTAAAAATTAATATTAATATTAACAATAAAATTTATGGATAAGATTGCAATTCTGAATGTTATTAAGGTTCTAAGATTCAGCATGTATATATATATATATATATATAGAGGAATGTGTGTGTATATACACATGCACCTAAAAGCATCATATATAAAAGAAAAAGTATTGTATGGGTTTTTATTTAAAATGTCATTAATAATCTTGTAATTCATTTTGGATTGTTTTTTTATTTATGTATTTATTTTTTATTCCCATCATTTATTAAGTTGCCAAAATGATTACAAAGAAAGACAATGGTGTAAGTGAATTCTATGATTTTACAATGAATCACACCAAGAATGGACATAATGTGAAAGAGACTTGGTGTTCTAATTCCAATATTGTTAGGTCTGGTATCATGTCTCGTTTATACATACCTTGGCATGGACCTTCATAAACCTTGAGTGATGTTCAAAAATCATTCTATCCTCAACAACTATAGCAACATAGCACAGTATTATCTATATATATATATATATATATATAAATAATCGTCTGAGGGATTTTCTGTTTTGATGAATGTATGCGTGTATGTATGCATTTATATATATATATATATATATATATGCTTTTTTTTTTCTTTTGAATGCATTATTGAAAGAACTTATATTGTACACTCAATCTCACAATTCCTTTTCTATTGAACATAAATGAATGGAGTCATGTTTATTTTTTAAATTTTGTTTTACAGATATTTGTATGTTTTCCTAAAAAAACCATGTCAGAATTCCACTCCTTGAACCCATCAATTAAACATGAGTATTTTCAAGATAAGAAACACACTTGTTTTAATTTATTTTGAATGTGGTACTTTGTTTCTTTCATTTAGTGTTTATTATAGCTGGGCAGAACTTTAAAGCATGTAAACAAGAATTCAGTTCTAGGATTTAACATCCCATCCCTCATTTACAAGGATGATATGATAATTATTAAAAATAAGGAAATAAACCATATACAATTCTTTAATATTTTTTTATTTTATATCTTTATGTTTCTTACAATTTTGACATTGAAAGCAATTATGATATGTACAATTCAATATAACAAAGAAGTACAAACATTTATTTATTTATTTTGTATTTATTCATGCAATAATATTATTTTCAATCTTTTTGAAACTTGATTTTTACAATTATGAAACCCCAAAAATGAAAAAAAATTAAAAAGCAACATAGATATACCATTCTTTAAGAAACAGATCAACAATTAAAGTTTTATAAATAAATTTGTGCATAAAATCAATCTTTTTCTTCGGGCAGCAGCACCAGTTATTACATAAATACCTCCTATATGCCATACAATTTCACAAACTATAATATCATACCACAAGTTCTATCTTTCTAATTCATTTATATATATATATATATATATATATATATATATATGTATGTATGTATGTATGTATGTATGTATGTATACATATATACATACATACATCTATGTATATAAGTTTGAAAGATATTTTAAAATCTTGTGTGTGGAGATTTGTTGACATATGTATATATATATATATATATATATATATATATTATTTGAAAAAAAAAATCATCTTAATAAATTTTAAAAAATAGAAAAGTATTCACATGTATTTATTATTTAAAAACTTCTATAGTTATAAGTCTTATCTTATTTTATAAAAGAATCTTACTATTTTTTATAGATTTATATAAAAAAAATATCACAAATGCCCTTGAATTTTCTAGAAATATCAAGCATACACCCCAATTCTTGTTAATATCAAATCTACTCTTTTTGTGATAATTGCAAAAATGCCCCTTGGAATGATAATCTATTTACTTCCAATTTTGTTCAGTTTGAACTAGGGCCAGGAGCACGTGTCGTGCAAATTTGGCATGGCACTTTTTACTCACTTCTTGGGCACCTCCCAAAATAGACACTGCCTCTCAATGTGGATGCTATAAATTGCTCAACTCTCTCTTGTAAATTTTATGTCTCTTCTTTCTTAGACATTGGCATAATTCAATGTTTCTGTAAGCTACTGTTTTTTGCAAGTTGTTGGCCTTGTAAGCTAGTTTGATTGAAAGTTAGGCATTGTTGTTTGCATAGTTCTTTCCACTTCAATTCTGCCTGTATGATCTTACAATTTTTTTGGTTTGATTTAATGAGTTCTTGTAATTGTTTATAGATTGTCGTGTAATAGCCAACTAATTTGGAATTTGGCATGCCTAATCAGTCTTTAACCAAAAAAAATGGAGTAGTGTAGTTTGATAATTCTAGATGTATCCTTTTATGGATTCTAATAAGCCATATTGCTTGCTTTTTTTGGATCTTGTGGGATTTTGTGTGCATGGTCTTTGTATGATTAGAATGTAGGACATTGTAAACAAGTTATAATTTGATTTTATCAAGTCTCCATCTCTTCCAAAAGTGTTGCTACATTGCAACATATTCTCATTCATGTTTTGTATTTCTTTTGTGAATTTCTTCTTTTTTTAATGCATTGATTTTTTTAATGGGAGTTTGAGTGTTGTGATGTGTCGTGGTTGTTATTCTAGTCATGTGAGTTTGATTGGATATATATATATATATATATGAAGTCTTCAAAGAAGTACTCACTATTGTCAAAGCTTTGATGATGTGCTTCTCATGGTAATTAGTAAAATTATAGGTTCTAACATTGGTTTTTGTCTTATCGATTTGAATAGTTTGGTCTCTTATTGTGCTTTCAGTTGCCATTTTCAGTGTCGTTATTGTATTCCATATGTTCTTGCTTGAAAATGCATCGGGCACCTAACTACAAGAGGTAAGTAGAAATGTAACAATAATCCTATCAAGTCTAATAGAATCTTAAATAAATTTTAAGTAATCTTTAATAACCTTAATCAAACTTTGATCAATCCAAAATAAATTTAAAAGAAGTTACAAAAGAAACACAAATAAGTCCTAAATTAATCTTAAAGAAAAATAACAAAGAAATATTAAAAAAATATTAAAATAAACCTTTAAATAATAATTTTTTTAAAGAAATACTAGAAATAAAATGTTTTAAAGAAACAAGAAAGAATCCTAAAAAAACATTTAAAATAGAAATCTTAAATAAATCCTAAATAAATCCAAATTAAATCTTAATTTAATTCTAATTAAAATCTTAATAAAATTTAATTAAATTTTAAATCAAATCTTAATTAAAATCCTAATGAATCTTAAAAAAATCTTGAGTCAAATTCTAATAAAATCCTAAATTATAAATCAATCCTAGTAAAATCCTAATGAAACCCTAAATCCTAGACTAATTCTAATGAATCCTAGTAAAATCCTAATCAAATTGTAGAAAAATCTTAATCAAATCATAATCAAATCCAAATAAAATCCTAAGTTGTAACCAAACCTTAGACAAGTCTTAAATCTTAATTAAGCCCTAATCAAATTCTAACCAAATCCTAGACCCTAAATCAATTCTAATCAATATTTAATCAATTTTTACATCATAAAAAAATCTTAGTAATTCTATAGCAAATTAAAATTTCATAACATTTATAATAAGCATAATAACAAACTGCCCAATTTTTACTTATACACATACTATGAAACTCAAAAACCTTCAAATTTATAAATGTATTTTTATTTTTTAAAATATAAATCCACTAAGTATATTACTAACTTAAAAAATCTTTAAAAATCTCAATATTAATTCAAATGATATGAAACTAGTACTCAAAAATCTTTCCTCAAGTATGCTCTCAAATTTCACTCTTTAATTTGCAAAAGAATCCTAGAATCATTGTATGTGCTTGGTTTTATGGCTTGGGATCTGATTTTGACTTTTTTTGGCAATTGGTCCTCTTTGAATATCAATTATTATCTTCTTGAAGTAATTTTTGCTAAAATCAATTCTTAATTCTTTCTTATATATGTCTAAATGATTTATTTTTTTAATCTATTTTATTTTTCTTTATTTATGGTTCTACAAAGTAAATAGAATCTATTTTTATAAAAGTAGTTCTAATACTAATAGATTTTACTACTTGCCTATCATTTGTCTATGTTTTTTTATTATATATTTTAAATTAGGCTCTTCTATAATAAAACAATTTTTTTTTCTTTCATCTAATGGCTACATTACTACACAACACTATGGAATAAACTAAATAAGATTGTTTACCATTATTTCTTATTAGTATCATTTGTCTCATATATATATATATATATATATATATTTTTTTTTTTTTATAGTTTTGGTAAATTTCCATATCAACAACGAAATTGTGGTGTCCATTAATGTGATGGCTTATGATGTAGCAATTAAATATACTAAGCACAAACTCAAGCTAATTTGCATTGTTGATTCTTATTGCTCCTTTTCAAACTTTCTTATTTGCCAAATATAAGGGAATTTGTGATCTCATCTTATCAAATCTTAATTTTTTTTTAATCCATTCATCCTCCCCTCCCTTCCACCTCTCTTATTTCTCTTTATTGGACCATAGTATTCCAAGGCAATCAAACTAGCAATCTTAGAGCATGTTGAGATAAACAAGCCATATCCACACTATAGTAATAGCCTTTGATTGATTTGGAATTTAATTGTTGTTGCATGTTATAGTAGAGCCATTTGATGAGATGATTGACATTATTGTTGAAGACAAAATTGCTTATGAAAAGTTATTCAACATATTTCTACTGTGATCATTTGAAAAAGACTATATTGATTTCAATCTATATTTTGTTTTGTTCCACATCTTCTACTATTTAGTATACTTTGCTTATGCAAAGTGTAAAAAGAAGCTTTGCACCATATCCGAAAAAAATAACATGCTTTTGAATATTGTGCATGGTCAATAAAATCTAGATTTTTGACAAGTTTGTCTTTTTAAGAACTTTTTTAGCAAAAATCATATTTTTAAATAACAACTTTTTTTTATTGTGAGTATTGTTTTTAGTACTATTCAAAAATGAAAAGAAGCTATTTCTTATAATATAATTAATAAGTATTATGAAACATCTATTATCAAGTCTAATCCAACAAGATATATTGTGAAGTGTTCCAACAACAATTGCAAATAGAAATTGCATGCATCACTATTTCAATTGGCAAATATAAGTGAATTCGTTATTTGGACATTTGTTTGTGAACAGACATACATTGGTACTAACTACTTGAGCAATCAACATGCTAATACAAGTTGAGTAGCAAGCAATGTAAAGAACAAGTTGGAAGACATATCTCAATATAGAAATGTAGATATCCAAAGGATATTTGATATAATGAAGGCATTACAATATCCTACTTGACGACATGGCATGGAAGAGAAAAGGTTGTTTCTAAGCTAATTGGCTCTTACGAACATAGCTACAGTAATGTAAAAGCATATTATCACCAAATTAAGACATGATTATTGATATCAATATTCTTTTGATTTTTTTGACATTAAGCTATGGAATTGCACAACTAATTCTAGTAGTGCCAAAATCGAATAGGTACTCATGGCGATTCTCCAAGCTCTTCACACAACTCTCTTCAATTCCAAGCAAGTCCCTTTCTTTAGTACATTGCCAAAAAATATGCAAGTGTAGCGGAGGAGGGAGTGTCCGGTTTGCATGGGGCCCAAACAATGCAAAAAATTGTTGTTTTAAGCCTTAGTTCAAACTAAAAAAAACTAGAATTAGATAGATTATTTCTGTGAGGGGCATTTTTGCAATTATCACAAAAGGTAGGGATAGATTTGATATTATCAAGAATTGAGGTGTATTCTTAGTATTTTAGAAAAATCCAAGGGCATGTGTGATATTTTTCCTTTCATATAAGCAATAATACACACACACACACACACACATATATATATATATATATAAATGCACACATCTATAATATCTCATAAATTTTTTATTCACATTTTATCATATTTTTTTGAGAGAATTTATATATATATATATATATATATATCCTTTATTATATCCAAACAAACAAGTCGTGTTAAGTGCGACTAAGGCATTGAAAACAGGAGAGGGGGCTCGAGGGCAGTGGAAATGCAACAGAAGCCCCTGAGACCGTGCACATAACGTGGACCGAGCCTGGAGCTCCTAAGACCGTGTACCGAACGTGGACCATGGCCAAGAGCACCTAAGACAGAGAGGGGATCTCACGAGAGTCACACACGAACTCATCTCCGTGGATCTGTTGAAGGCCTCACGGCGGAAAGAACGAAGGGTGAAGCTCTTGAGCATTAGGATACTTTTTGTTATTTTTATTGCTTGCGGCGAGACAGTGTTGTTGCTTGGACAGTCTTCGAGGGCAGGAAGAAGGAACTGCGCACGAGTGGAAGGGAAGCAATGGGGGGCGCAACACAGGAGCTAGACCTTGGGCCGGTGACAATGTCGGCCATGACTGCAGCGTGGACTTTCGTCTACGTGCTGTCGCGTGTGTTATTCCCGGCACGCTCCAAGGATTTTTGCAATCGCATCGTCTCACTCATCCATGTGTTTGTGTCCTGTTATTTCTGTTCCAAGTCGGTTGCCGATTGGTCTCGCCCATTGGACGGTGTCGGCGCAGCCTCCACATATCCCCAGGTCAGACTTCTAGGTTTGTCTGAGGTCCTCCTTCATATTGATGATCAGAATGCTCGTGTTTGATACAATGTGTTATTTTACTTTCGGTTTAGTTGCAAGTGACTTGACGCCTTTTCTGTGTGTGAGAGATCTTCTAGTTATTATCGAAGCTTCGGTTGAGGAAGCCTTAATGGTCTTGTCTACATTTAGTGCACAAATGCTAGCATTACTCATCTCATTGCTTAAGGGACTTTTCTTTTCTTTTCTTTTCTTTTTTTTAATCCCTTAATCGGATGCTTTTAGTAGTACAAGCGTGCAGCATTCCCAGGCTTCGTGTTTGCAATGTGTGGTCAGGCCTGAATACCCTCTGAAAATTGGGTGCCGTTACAGCATTCCATATTCCAGAATTCTGTCATAGGGGGTTTTGGATTCTCCACATTAGCGGAGTGTATTTGAAGTGATTTTTTTTTGATATTATGAGCTCCGCTTAATTGCTAATATCGTCTGTCGAATGTTGCAGATGCTGGCGTTAACAGTAAGTCTGGCCTACTTCACTTACGATACCCTTTGCTGCTTAGTGGAGCTCCCATTCAGTTTGGATGTGTTTATGCACCATGTTCTCACTATCCTAGGGCTTGGGTTTGGATACGAGCGTCAAATTGTAAGTCTTACTTCTAACTCTACGCAGCTATTGCTCAGATATGTTTTTCTCCTCGTTTGTATTTGAAGTTTCCTTGTCCGAAAGTTCGCTTGTATTCAATGTATTGTATGGACTTTTCATATGTTTCGTTTGATGTCCCATGCCTCGATAATCATGAACCGATTATTTTAATTCTTCTATTATTATTTTTCCTGTAGAGTGGGACAGAGCTGGTGGCATGCCTGATGCTCATGGAAGTATCAAACCCCTTCATGCATGCTCGAGAGCTTCTCAAAGAGCTGAACCTGAAAGATTCATCGATGAACCTTGCGAATGATGTATGTGTTTCTTTCCAATTAGCATCTTCAACACACGCAACGCCTCATTAATTTCCATTTGTTATCGCACAATTGTTCCACTTCATTTTTCTCTCTTCAATTTGTGTATGATTAAAAAGGAAGAACTACCGTAATATCCTCATACCTATCTACCAACTTGAGCTATGAGATTACTCTGGCTCAATTTTGCTCTCAATGATTCAATTTGTCTGTGAAGAATCGATCATCCACTTATTCGTGTGACATTCGGTTCTTGTGCAGGTTGTTTTTGCCCTGATTTTTACCGTTGCTAGAGTCTTCATTGGACCTATTGTCGTGTACAAGTGTCTATTATCATCTACCACCCCTTTCGCTGTCAAGGTTTTTCTCCCTTATTAGCATGCTCTTTATCCTTGATGTATTTTGAATTGCTGTTTTGATGAAAGTTCTTTACTGTCGGCCCTGTTTGCACTAGTGAACTTAAACAAAAAGTCTTCATCACCTCCGTCTGGTGCAGGTTGGAGCTGTTGGAATCCAAGTGGTTAGCTTACTATGGTTCTATAAGATTGCGCGGATGGTCGTTTACAAGCTAAGCAAGAAGCCTAAGACTCGGAAGGCTGCTTAATTTCATTTTGCAGCTGCTGTCTCATGCGTGCCCGATTCCACCTTTTATCATTATCAATTTTCATTTTGTAGATCACTTCTGGACGACGTGTCAAAGTAAGGATATCTTGGAAGCTGTTTGAATTTTACGTGGCCATGAATTCATGCCGGAGTTGTACATCATGTTCGAGTTTAGTGCTGCTTCCGCTCTGGAAAAAGACTTCACCATTATTTTTGTCAACCAAGCGCTTTTGTTGAGCTCTGAGAACATCGATCTTCAAATGCCGTCTGGTCCAGTGTATTTGGATCGTCGAGACCATAGCAACTCATGTTCACTGCCACACCATAGACCACTTTTGACGTAGTTCACGAGCTACATGGGTCCACATCGCGTCTGATTTTATTGGTATGCTCTCATATATTAGGAAAAAGTGGCGATGTTTTGTGGTGTATGAAATGCAGCATGACGAGAACATCCCTCCAGCACTTAGATTCATAAAAGCATACACTTCACAGGATTTGATGGGTATAAAACATTACATATGTCTGGGACTGCAGGTTCAATACGAGCCACACCAAACATGTCGCACATATCAATTAACTAGTAACTGCGCTACAACAATTGTATGCCTACGCGATACTGATTCTTTGAACGCCCTGAGCACATGCAGGGTTCAATATACATCAACAGCGAACATTATGAGATTCCTATGACCAGATTTGACTATCAACTTGCCACGATTCCATTAATTTACAACGCTGTTGACAAAACCACAAGAAGATATGCGGTGATCAAACCAGCTACAGTCCTACGGTCCAAGATCTTGCGATGCAGGTTGACTGAGTTGTCAGGGCCACACTTAATGATACAAGTGAAATTGCTAACACCATTCTATTCTCAACCAAATTAACGCACTTCACTTCCTCCGGAACTTTCACAAATTAAACCCGTCCCCTTCCCCTTTCACCTCTTGCCCTCCAACAATTTCCAATGGATTAATCCTCGTAGATTCAATCGCTCCTCGAGATCCTCCCGACGCACAACAAGATCATAACAAATTTCTCTTCGATAGCAGGTTTCAATTGCGAGGCTAGAACAGCGACTGATGCTGCCACGCCAGCATCAGCGACGCCCTGCGGATTCCTATCAAAGCTGCTCGCTCTGAATCACCATCGCCGAATTCGGCGAAAATATCAGCATAAAAAACCAGATTCACAGAATAAATTCAAACATCTTCACTCGATAGATATCGTCCATATCCGTCGCTTTCGCTTCACCTGCTGCTTCGAAATCCACCCCGCCACTTCACATTGCTTCAATGACTGACCACATTCTTGCGGATTTCATCCATCCGTCGAGTTTTCCTCGACCAGAGCAACATCACCAGCTGCAGGGATTTGTCACATCATTTCATGTTTTTCTGCGTGCATTTCACAGTTGAATCCGTCAATTTGAATGTTGCCTCACTCCGGTTTCAATGACGATCTCCAAGAGCAGAAAAGACGAAATGAGAATGAAGCTTGCGGTGGCTCTTGCAATGTGGAAAACTTCAATTCGCTCGAATCCTGGAGCAGAAGAGAATCAGTGGAGAAGAAAGGTTGGTGATCACGTTGAGCAGTGGTAATTTCTTTGCGTGGTCCACTTGATGCTGTGGCACTAATCCTGTCACTCTTGTTGAGAGCAGTTGATCACCTTGTGTGTCTATTGAATGACACTTGAGTATCTTTCTTGCGGTCCTTACAATGCATAGCTCAACGGTGCCATATTGAACTGGAATTGGATTCTGTGCTTATCATGCAAATGGTGAGGCCATTATCGGGTTGAACTTTTTACACATTTCTCTTTTACTGAATCGTTCAGTGAGACTCGGAAATTTTCGTAACTGTGTCTCGAAGTTGCAGGCCGAAGTATTGGAAGAGAAGTACATCGTCGTGACGAAGCAGTTGGAGGAGTTGCAAGGTCCATTACCTAACCATCAAGTTTCAAAACAACTCTAAGGACTTACAAAAAGAATTCACATGTTGATTATCTGACAGTGATGGATGTAATGTGGGGCAGGTGCAGTTGTGCTGGATCGACTACCATTGCTTGCCCCTTGCAAGTGTCACTTTTTAAAGTCGGCTGGTAATGAACAGAATGAGGGTCGAAACAGCTACGGTGATTACATTAGGCAAAGCGCGGTTCAAATCTTCTTGAGAAATGGTAATTTTCATCCTTCCTAACCCTTCGCTGCAAGTTAGAGAGATATGAGTAGTAAAAAATTGATGATACTAATAAATAAACATGTAAACAAGTCAATAAAATGTGCATTATTTTGTTGGAATAAGGTTGATCATTGCGTTATTGTGGCAGTGAGAGTTCTGCGGAAGTTGAAGCTGCAGAGCGTAGACGACAATTCTGGTAATATGGCCTCAAGCATCTTTGATGATGAATCTTTTTGAGAAATACTAAGTGATGCAGATAATTTCTGAGAGGATCGTGACGTTTAGGAGCTTCGCGGCCTTTAACTGTACAGATGAAATGCAAGGGAATTTGGCCATAGTGATTGATTTCGTCATCGAGTTACTGAGCTGCCAGGCAAAATCAGTGAGTATCCAATCCAAAAAGATATGTGGGAATCATGCGGTTTTTATTTGCGGAAAATATTAGATGTTCTAATCAATTAATTTACACAAAACAAATAGGTTGTAAAAAATTGAAGCTCGGAGTGAGAAGGTACCGACTTAGTATAGCATTTTATGAATGTCCATGTTTACGTGACGTTGGGAGTACATCACACCTCTTTCCAATCTGTGTGAGGCTTGGATGCTCAATGAAGCTGATTATTGACAGATTCACTTGAAAGGAAGGTACTCCGAGGCATACATTCATCATGCTGTGGACTTCATTAAAGGTCAAGCTTACCTTGAAGCTCCCTCCTGGAGGGTTCCGTTTGATTTTCTATACCTTCGAAGGTGTTGAGTTATTTGTTCTTTGTGGTTCTGATGAAATAAAATCATCCAGGAATGTAAACGCGTCGGACTTGTCGCTTGTGTTCTTGCTACAATTCTTTTGACTGTGCAGACACAATTCCCTTGTTACGTCGAGAACAATGCGAGGAGAGTCAACTTCTAGTTGTCAACAACCTCGTGAAGAAACTGGCCCTGGATCTAGTGGGAAATTTGCTCAACTTCACGCCCAGCTGCCAAGGTAAAAATTCTGTGCCAAGCCTTTCCAGCAAGAATTATTGCTTTGATAAAATTTGATACTTTACCATTACTGAACGATACATTTTATGAACAGTCAATTCTTAATCCTACCACTAAAAGCTACTTCCGGTTACACTACGGTAATCCAAGTATTATCATGCTCACAATCAGTTTTCACGGAACACATTCTCCAGATGATAGTCAAGGAGATGACCAGGAGGAGACGCTCGTAGTCATGCTGAGACTTGCGGAGTATGCATACATAGGACATCGAATGCTTTTGACTTCATCACAACAGATGACGATGGTGTTGGAGAGACTTCAGTGCACGGACCCATTTGACGAGGGGTTCTCTCAAGCATACGAGAATCTTTTCTACGTGTAAGTATACTCAGACGACTTACGAGCTCGGCTAAAAACTGGACCATGCTACCGTATCTGAGACGCCATTGAAAACCTTTTCCAGTTCTTTCCAGAAGCACGATTTTTAAAAATCTGCAGGCCACTGTTTACTTTTGTCTTTTCAGAAACAAGCAGAAATGCTATTTTAATCGCTTAAGGTATCCAATATGTGAAATCGATGCAATTTACAGGATACAGCTGATTGAAACACTAGTATCAGCACACTTGAAGTCCTGGAAGGATGGAAACAATATCGAACAAGGTATGCGCACTACCCGGATACCTACATGATAGTGTTACTTTATGCTTACTTAAGTTCGTTACCAATTGTTAGTTCTTGTTTCCTTTATTTTAAGACTTAACTTATCCATTGGCTTGACAGAAATTCTGGAGGAATGGGTAACAAGCCATTTCCATTGTAAGAGCACGCTAGAAGGTAGACCCAATGCTTGGACATCCCAGATCATGATAATGCTTGACAGCATCACAGAAAAGTTGCTAGAACAACTGCAACCTTCAGCTGAATTAGATGCACACGACGGACTAGACATCTGGCAGAAGGCATTGGTACACTTGCTTGCCTCTACTTCTTCTACTATTAGAGAAATACAGCAGCTCTAGACGCAACTGTCGACTCTAGAATACACTTCCCGACTATAAAAATGTTGTGGCCTTGGAATAACCTAGTGGCAAATAAAGAAAATAAGTAATATCTCAAGATCATTGCTCAACTGCAGAACCCCTGCATAAACTATGGTAATTGGAGAAAGACCCCGTGCCACGGCAACTCCTGAACTCGGATCATTTTCATCAACCCTGTACTAAGTAGTGATTCAACAATCAATAGTATGCAATTACCAACTCCGCTCGAGTTGGCGACATCCCAATACGACCATCTGAACAAATTGACGAGGACAAAAAAAATAAAAAATAAAAAATAAAAAAAATAACAACGCAAAGAAAGCTACAACATCAAATACGCAAACTGGAACAATTACTGGAAGGAGTTGCGCTTTTTCAATGAATATGATTGACAACATCTTATCTCCGGAAGCTACTAGATCGTTCTACGCCGTAGCACCGCCCTGTTCGGGATATGTGTTGAAGCTTTGTGTTAAGCAGGGTTTGAACATTAACCTGCGATAATGGTAGTCAAGTTCCTTCACCATCAAGGGCAGAGCAATATTCATCGCCCACATTCTTCAGTGTGGTAATCAACAAACCTGAATCTGGATAGACTTCGCAAAAGATTTTGCGACACCCACTACAAGTCCCGGAATATGTCGTCGAACACATCGACATTCAATTACTCAAGCATTATCGTGGCTCTCAAGCTTCTGAATCGTAGCTTTCAAATCGCTCACTTTGTCCGCCAGCTCCTTTCGTGCCGACTCCTTGCCAAACATGAAGCCATACCTGAGTGACGACCACAAAAGTGCCATCAGAACTTTGCGTTTTCACGGCTGCTGTCTCAATACACCCTATCAGTGAGAAAAATCTACAGGTGCGGCCCCTCGAGTGTCACTAGCAACCACGAATTACTTCAAGTTTGCGCAATTAGGCGCATACAATTGAACCCTAATCTGAGACGGGGAGAACTGGAAAACGGCGAAGTTTACCATGCAGACAAGGCGGAGAATCCAGCCACAACGGTCACATACTGCAGGCGGGAGAGAGCCATCCCGCCTTTGAAATTCCACGGATGGTCCACACTCTACACCGTCACTTGATCGATCTTCACAAGACGCACAAACAAGTATGGTTTTGTCCCGTTTCTGGATTTGACCTTAAACCCTAAATTGGGTGATGGGTTTCGGGACCTAGTTCAACCCGGATTTGTCAGACAACTTGAATCCGAGCTTCAGTGAGTGTACTAATGTTTTTATATAGATAGTGATCGATCATTCGAGGTCTCAAAGTCAGTGCCCAACTCATTTGTTTTAGAATTTTGTATGATAAATTCAAATTAGAATTAACTGCAGTAGATCCAGGTATTCTTCAGCCTGAGTAACAATCATACTGTTGGCAGTGTCAAGAATATGGTGTACGTTATGTCTTAAAGAGAAGCATGATGCTGGATTTATTATTAAAATTGTCCATTTTCTCTCTGAAAATTTTACATTTCACAAAAACAGTGGTATGTACTCTGAACTGATACCAACTGAATTCAAGAAGTCGGTGCTTTCAGAATTAACAATCAAGGTTAGCCCTGGTTAATACCTTTAGATTAGCAGAGTAGGGGAGAAAGATGTATTATGAAGTTTGAAATGGAAAAATGCTTCAAATTGGTATTGTTAAAACTTCCTAAATTAACCACCCACCCATTCAACACACAATTAAAAAGTAAGAATCCCATCTTCAAAAACGTGTAGGGATAATACAAGAATGAATAAAGATTGACTTCAACAACAGCACCACTCACAAGCAATTTTTATATTGCGATGGGAATAATGTGACAAAATTTGATAAGGTACTCCATTCACAACCTAAAGTTTTGCTCTTTACTCATATTACTCGGAGACATTCACAATAATAATCTCAAGGAAAACATGTTATGTCAAGCCACACAAAGTCTAACAAAAACATACATTGTTTGGATTGCAAACATTTTTCGTCGACGACATCATTAACATTCAACCGCATACTCTAAGATAAATTGGTCAATCGGAGGGTAAATGCATGTAGTAATCACATACTTCACGTGAATTGAAAGCTATCAACCATATTGAACTTCAAGACAAGAGATCACTGAATGTCCCAACTCCAATGAGAGCCACACGGAATTTAAGGTGAAAAGGTTTACATAACTGGTGAAAAGGAAAATAATCTGCAAGCAAGCAGCAACTCAGATTACTTCTGAATTTACGGTTGTGCTTCAAAGAATGGTTGCATTAAGAAAGTTGATCTAATGGTATATCAATAGGTTGCACCTGGTATGCCAAATTTTGATGTAGCTTCAATCTCCAGAAGAGTGTAGGTTTCAAAATTAGGCCAGACCTATTGAATCGATGTAGCAATCCCTCTGCACCTGATAATTGGATCTTGACTACAGCATTGTTAACCCCTCGTTGGTCATGAGCTCATTGAAGCATCCCTCGTCGAGACAGGATTCTTAAGGACAAAAAGCTGCTCCTCCCTTAAGAAAGACGACCAACTTGCTGGGATGACACCAAACGAAATGTGCCACCTGGTTTGTGTAGAAACCGTGACCAAATGAAGGCCGGTTTGTCTAAACCACGTCTTTGTCAGACTGTGAAGAGTCGAATGGAATTATCTATTACGGAGTAGAAAAGTGCAGAAATAGCTTGACAATGCCAGAGAAAGGAAGAGAGAGAGGGAGGGAGGGAGAGGAAGAGAGGGGGCTGGCCAGCTGAGTAATCGTGGTTCGTCTGCAAATCATGTAATAGAAGTCCTTGCTCACACATGATTCTTCGTGCGACTTACTCAGGGGGAAGGTATCGCCGCCACAATCCCTTCATTTCCAGATGGAACAGATTCAATACTGTCCGGTCCTGAAAAGAACTTTCCTCTCAACCGCCTCCATCCGTAAATGTCCTTAGATACAGGTGATGGCTCATTCTTTACAGGCAAATCCTTAGCAGATTCAAACAACTCAAAATCTTTGTCATATATCGAAAGTGTCTTCAATGGCCTGCAAACTTGACCGAGAGTCCTTGCACCAGAAACACTCTGATCATGTTGACCAGTGCTACTACCGTCAACAGAAGAATCACCATCAGAGTCTTCACATCCTCTTGCATTCGTAGTACATGAAGCATTATCTTCACCGGGGCACAACCCTTGCAGACGCCTGAAAAGCACATCCCCATCTACTACGTGAGGACTCGCACTCGACGACGATTCTTCAGCTGATCTCTGGGGCAGATCAGATCCAAAAGACGAGACGTCACTACTAGTTCTACTAAAGACGCCTGTTCGGAGAAGCTCCCAAAAATCGGCAGGTTCATCATCCTCGTTGATATTTACAGGAGGACCCTCTACCTGCTCATACCGGATTAGCTGAAGTGCGAATTCATGCCCGGCCTTGGCCATACGCGCATCACAAACTTGTCCATGCCACACGTACAGGTTGTTCTGTCCGTGGATTACAAATACACCCCGAGAGTCGAATGTGAGAATATCTGGACCAGTGACCTTTTTAGGCACCAAAAGCAGCGGGTCGTGGGAAGAATGGGGAGCCATGCGATATACACGAAGCTTGTTGTTCAGAGCAGGTGCATTTTGCAACTGTTTCTGAAATTGCAGCAGCTGACAAGCAAATCCGAGATTAGGGTTGGTCACTGCTCGAGCAGCCTTGATGAAGTTAAATGCATCTTGAAAGGTGCACCTCTGCAACCATGTCAGGTAGGCAATCACCAAAGATGTAGACCGAGAAACTCCTTTGCAACAGTGCACGAATACACGACCGCCCTGCTGTCTGACCGCCTCAATGAAGTCGAAAACGATGTACAAGACACTAGTGATGTCTTCCGAAGGACTATCCTTGAGCCACAAGGTCTTGTAAGTAAATTCATCGGGAAAATACTCGGGGCAAGCAAAGCCGGCACTATTGAGAATATGCGTGATTCCATTTTCCATCAGTATCTCGCGACTCCTGGCTACAGTGCCACTGCCCACATAGACATGATCTATTACGTGGGAGCACACCTGATCGAAAGATGCAAGTAAGTCCCGATCAAGCAGACGCCTCGAGACCTTACATAGGTCTGGATATTGAAGAGCACTCGTATCCAGCCTCATCTCCGACCCGTTACGCATGTTTTTTACCCTTTCCTTCAGCATGCCTAGCGATGTAATTGTTGTACGCCTCCGGCGACTATATAACTTTACAATATTTTTCTAAAAGAATTCTATATGATTACTATGACCGAAATTATAAATACTTAGACCTTCATGATGTTGTAAGCCTCAGACATCCTAGCTGCAATTCAGCTGTATGGCACTCAAACATACCCTCTTCTGATAAGAAGAACTTCCCACGTAACTAGATAAAATTTTCTGTTTAGTTGAAGCTCTACCCATGACAAATGAACCCCAGCCAAAACCTCCAATTTTTTGAGAATACGCAGCAGCTACAAAATTCACCTACTGCAACTCGAAGAACTTACTGAGTGGCCAAGGGAAACTGAGGATGCCTTACGACTTTGGAATATTAGGGGACTAACAGAATTTCTACAGTAGCGTCTTAATGTGTAAGGCCAGTAGTGACTAAGAATGTAAATCTATGCATAGATGTGATACCACTACTCTTTAACAAATGCGGCCGGGATAAAGATAAAACATTAAACCACGGATACTTTGAACCCGACATTTGCTGGACTCTGTGCGGTCGTCGAAAATAGCACGAAATGGGACAAAGAACTAAAAGACGGCACTGGCAGCAAAACTTACTCTTTTAACTTCTAATTTCACCTTAATTGCAAGGCATGAAGCGGTTTACTAGTTACAACGACAGTATTGATGTAGTTCTCCCATTTGCATTGGACCTTCCCAAATGATCCGATTTCAAAAACCAGCATCTTGATGGCCACATAGCAAGCAGGCTGACCTTGACCTAACAGAACAACCAGAATTTGTTACCAAGAAGTCTGTCAATAGTAAGCTCCAACAAGATCCTAGTCTACAGCTCACAACCTACGCAACCACCTCAAAATCACGAGAGGCGAGGTAAACATGCAGTTGCCAAACTATTAACAATACCGAAGCTCAAAGGTCGTATCCTCCGACAGAAGTTGAAATCAAAACGTTGCATTAGTAACGAATCACAAAGTAACAATGAGAAACCGAATTTTCAATACACCGTAGTTATGCCCGTTTAGTCGACCACCGAGAAGGTGTTGATTAAAGAACACACTCAAACTCCCAATAGTCAGCAAATATGAAGACACACACATGCGACCAAAGCAAATAATGAGCAAAAAGGCACTACAACAAGTCCATCATTCAAGCTTACATGTTTCGCCTACCATTTACTACTCTGCTTCAAGCAGAAGACTTGCACGTTCGTCGCAAACCCTCGGCTTACGGGAAGACTCGCAACGACACTTGAAGACAGTCACAGAAACTCGAAGTAAAGCTTACACCATCTCAATGGCTTGCTTTGTACCAGCCCGAATTAGCCCTCTGAAAGGAACTCGCCCAAGAGCACCTCAAGAACGTCGAACCCACAAACACCTCAAGACTAGGTAGAACCAAAAACCTGGTACTCTTCTCAGACTCCCTCTACCCCCGAGCACTTTCCCTTCTTCTTCTCCTTCCTTCACTTTCTTCGCTCCCTTCCTTCACTTTCTTCGCTCCCTTCCTCTCACTCTTCTCTGCCACTCCTTTTCTCTCTAAGACCCAACGTCAATCAAACTCTTCCAGAGCTCTTCTTCTTCAGGTACCTGAGAATCTGCCCTGCCGTGGTGATCCGCATGCCAAACTCCGTCCGTTGGTCTTCTTCCCTATATGTCCCTACCCTTTCCTTTCTTTCCTTTCCTTCAAAGCCCCTGGCTTTCTATCTCTCTCTCTCGCTTTATCCCTTCCTCGCCACACGCCGCGACTAACGCAATATAACCTAAATGTGCCCCCGAATGCTGCTTCCTCCCTCTCCTCCTTCCCCCACTGACTCCTCCTCCTCCTCCTGCGATACTACTACTGCAACTACTACTACTGCTGCTGGATGGGTGTCTGGGTGGGTGGGTGCAAAGGTCCAATCCGAAGCGGGAGTTGGGTGTAGTATTTGTGGTGCTGACGACGACGAAGCAGAAGAAGAAGACGGAAAGACAGGGCAATGAAGGAATGAGAAGGAAAGAAGGAAGAAGGGAAGGAGGGGGAAGGCAAGTTACTTCTCCCGCTTTCCCTGTCCCTTCCCTCCCTTTTCCTTTCCTCTCCCTCTCCCTCCTCCTCGTCCTCCTCCTGTGCTCCCTTTTCCCTTCGTCTTGTGGGAGTGGTCTCGTTTCGTCTCGCCTCGTCTGGTGCAGACTAAGGGAAGGGGAAAGGGAAGTGGGGGGGGATGCTGTTGTTGTTCTCAGTGTTCCCCTGTTCCCCTTTCACACCGCCACCACCCCCCCTCCACCGCGGATTCATGCTCTTCTTCTTCTTCGTCACGGTCTGCGGATGGATGGAGACGACGGCGACCAGGTGTGTGTGTGGGAGTGTGTGTGCGTCTGTCTGTGCTGGTCACCGTGGAGGAGGGAAGGGAAGGGAGGGGAGGGGAGGAAACTGGGGACAGGGACACGGGCACAATGTTCCCCCTCCCTGTGCCCGTGTCCCTCTTCCCTCTCCCTTCAGTTGGGCTGGCTCCTCCCCTCTCAGTTGGCTCTTCTCTTCGTGAGGCAGGTAGGTAGTCAGGTAGGTAGAAATCTATATATATATATATATATATATATATTATTCGGATAAATGATCTTCATGCACTTTAAAAATGTGTATTAGAATGGAGCTACATGCAATTGGTCATAGATAAATATTGAGGTTTAAAGTCCTAAACTTGCATCTTGCAATGATTGGCCTTACAATTTATTTATTTTCATTAAAATTTGCCCATGAATTGTGTTGGTCAATGGTGCACCATGCAATAGTAACAGTGATATACTGATGCATCCAAGACGTAAATAATTCCTTTGATGTAATACTTCTATACTCTCTCTTTTATTCATTTGAATATAAAACATTACATAGTTCTACCCAGCCAGAATACTTACAAAACATGACAAACGAGCTTGCTATTTTTATAACTCTAATTGATAAACATCCAAATTTTGAAGGAAAAAGAAAGAAAATATGTCCCTCTAAGGGTATTTGTAATGCCTAAAAGTTTCCTAATCATTGCTTTTATTTTAAATTTGCAATAATGCTATAATTACTTACTAGTAGTTTCTATTGTCGCCTCTTTATCCATTCTTCTTATTGTATGGACATACTTCAATATTGTTGCTTTTGCTAAAAAATGTTAACGTTATTAATGGCGTTGGCATTTTATCCTTGTTTGTAAACTTACATTTTGTCCTCAAATGTATTGATGTATTATTCTTTCTTACTTTTGAAAGTGTCTATTGGTTGAAGAATAGAATTTTTAAAACTTAGTAGAACATTTTATTAAGTATTAAGGAGATGATTTTTTTTTGTATATTTAATGATATCTTTGACAATACTATAATATATGCAATAATTTTTGTCTTTGGTTTTGATGAATGCTTATATATATATATATATATATATCAAAAATCATTTTTTCCAACAACCAATTATATAATAGGCATTCTGCATCTGCACATAAATCTTCATACAAATAAGCATAGTCCAAATTGTTTTAAAAGTATGCTAATACCATAGAATTTTCATTTTCTTAATATATGGCCTCACTTTTCTTGTCATTTTTTTCTCCTTAAAATTTTGTGTCTAATATCTACAACTCTTTTTAGTGGTAGTTAACTATATGTTGAAAAACTATGGAGTAAAAATATAGAGATGATATTTGTTTTTCCATCTCATGTATCTGTTTGAGTTTTTGATATTAGAATTTGTAGCTAGGAGAATAGAAACATAGACTCTAGGATGTATCTTGGAGATTCTAGAGTTCTTATGTACATACTTTGATTAGTTCTTTAATATACTCACATCTTTTTTTTTCAATCCTTATATTGTTTAGTTCTCATCCTTTATCTTTGTCTAATAATTTTAACGTATTCATTCCGTCTATTATATATTATTGTATAAACATCTCTTTTTTTGCTTGCTCAATATTAGAACTTTGTTTTCCAACCATATTGCATTAAGGACAAAAATACATAATACCTCCTAAATACAATTGGCAAGATTGGCTTTAAAATTTTATAGGACTGCTTCCATAACAAGGCATTCTTCTCCCATCCATTCAGTCCTTTGTTTTAATTCTTTGATAGTTATCTTTTCTTATTCTTCAACCTCATATATATTTTATCACAACTAAGTATTTGTAGCAAAAAGTTTGTTGATTCATTGTCTAATTGTTTTGTTGGCAATTTTTAATATTATAACCTATTCATATGCGATGTGGAAGATAGCTTTACATCCAAAAATTGTAGCTTAGGTCATTTCAAGCATAATTTTAGTATTAGCTAAAGATTCTTGAAGGTCATAGATAGTATATTTGTGTTAATTTATGGTATGATGTTGCATCTCAATCCAAATACACAATATGGAAATTTTTGAAGTGCAATCCACCATACTTTAGAAACATTGCTCCATAGTCTTATTTGTCACTACACAATCTTTGTTGTATTCAATAAAAGATATCAAGTAGGTTGTTATTTTGGATATTTATGATGTATATATATATATATATATATATTCTTAAAAATAGCAAGTCATTTGAAGTTATCATTTGGACAATGGCTTAATGTGGATCTCATACATCTAAACCATCTTGGATTTCTTTACTTTGAATTGATTTAATGTCTCCATTTATTGCTTACATTGTTCATAGATCTAGCATAATTCTTTTATGTTTATCTAATTTCTCTGTACTTTGCTTATGTTGATCACAGATCTAATATAATTTCTTCAATACCTTAGTTATAGACCTTAATCAAGGTGGGACATTATATTTACCATAGTCTATTATGTAAAGACAGATATACAAGTTTAACAATGAATCAATGGAATTATTGGCATATAAATTACAATTAAGGTGGAAAAATTCAATACAAAGGTGTTTTTCAATAATCATGTTTTAATTTCTATTTTGCTATTATATATACTATTAAGTACATCTATAAGTGATACCCTTGAATGCATTTATAATTATTATAAAAGAAAATGGTATTCAATATGTTACATAATTATCTAAATATGGCTTTGAATGCTTTTATTTAATCTAAAAAAATATCATACTTGTAGTTGTCTTGTTATACTTCTTTCACAAAGTATTTGACATCTCAATAAAGATGTTTACAAACAGCCTTGTCTTACATGCCTATGCCTTAAAATTTCTAGCCAAAGAAAAGATGCAAGTATTGAGGTGTATATTTCACCTTGATTCTCTCAATAATACAAGTATACTATTCTTCATTACAAGTTATTAATTGAATAACATCATTATATTAATGTAGTGGATATCTACCAATCAAATCATCAATATCTTTTGTAGTGTATTCTTCCATAAAGTGAGTGATTGAAATATTGAAGTAATATATATGATTAGAAATAATAGATGTATATCACATATCAATTCAAAGGGTTTGGTTTTTATTGTGTTCTTATATGCAACTTAATAGGCCTATAGGATTGTTGATAAACATATATTCCAATTGATCTGGTTTGTAATAATGATTTTTTTTAACATTGTCAATAACATCTTGTTGATGGATTTTACTAATTTATTATTTTATAGATAATATACAATAGAGGTACAATATTTGATAATGTGATCCCAGATGAAATTGTCAATAATCTAGTTAACAAAGTGTGTACCTTAATAAAATAAAATTTCTAGAAGGCATCCAAAATAAATAATAATTTATTTTTAGAAAAAAGATCATTGTAATGATGACTAAATTGGTGTGTAAAGCCTTATCCTCTATTCATTTGATTATATAGTTTATAGATGCTAAGATATATTTATGTATTTGAGATATTTTTGATTTTATAAGACCAATGAAATTCAATCCATAATGCATGAATAATTCAAGTCCCAGAAAAGAACATAATGGAACCTTTCTTTGATATGCAAAATTTGAAGTAGATATTTGACATATATAGCAATGCTTAATATAATGGTATCTGTTGTTGTATAGAATTGGCAACCAATATCATGTTATAAAGATTTTTTGAATAGATATTTTTGGTCTTTAGTGCTCTCTTATCATATCTTTTTGTGGTTCTTTGATAATACCTTGATGTTGTTCCTAAAAAATGCATAGTTGCACCATGTTATCTATATTGCATTTATAAAGGAATTGGTTTATATAAGTATATGATAAGGCTTGATAGATGAAGATAATGTAATGCATACATGTAAATCTTTGTGGTTTCTATCCAATTATGAGATATGTTCTATATAGAGAACGCTAATCAATATTAATTGTTACAAGCTAAATAATAGATGTTTGAATATACATATCATTAAAGATATTGTTAATGCTTATTACTTCAATGGTGGTTGTATCATGGCATAAATAAGTAGTGACTACATAGTTTTTATTTTAAACATGGACTATTTCAAAGTCATATACCAAAAAGATCATGTGTCACAAACATACATATTTACTTATATATGAAGTATTGAATAGAAGATAAATATAAATAGATTTCATAATATCTTATATTCAAGCTTTTTATAAGCTTTATAGATACAAATTTGACTATGATATGTTTAAAGTTGATTTTTAGGTTAGAAACTTGGCCAATAAATTAGTTACATGTCACACATATTGATAGCTTATGATATAGGAGGCAAGATTGAAGCCTTCTTTAATTTTATCAATTTCTTTTTAATCTTTAGTCTCATCTCAAGAGTCTTTAGACTTCTTGCCTTTGATAATAGCCATTTTAGTTTAATATTATACTTTCTTTGAGTGATTATATACTCTTTTTAAGTAATATAAGAATATATTGATCTTTTAGTTTTTTAAGATTCATGTTTTTGATATCATGATCTATTATGCAATATGGCTAATGATTAATAACTAATTTATTAAATTCAATAATTTGGAATAATTTAGGAAAAATTGAATTATTTCTCCTAATAAATAATAGATTTTTTTATAATTGTATATATCATAGCAAGTGTTTTCAATTCAATTATCAAATAATTATGTTTT